TATTTACATTCCAGGAATATTGGCAGCTTACAGACTAGCGCCACATGCCTGCACGGGGTTTCCCCCTTCTACATCATGTACGACAGGGAGCACGAACCTCCCATAGAAACACAGCTGGGTGCTGCTCCAAAAAGCGCATCAGGTCAGCCGGTGTCCTTGAAGGTCTCGCTGGACCGACTGCATGAAGCACAGACAGCGGCAACGGCAAACACCTCGAATGCCCAGGCAGCTAATGAGCGACACAAAATGCCAGAAAATCGCACACTCCCATGGTCAGTTGGCGAGAAGGCGTGGCTGGATTATCCACAGGTCCCACTACATACCTTCCCTAAATTGCATAGACCCTGGCAGGGTCCTGTATAAATAACTGAAGTAATACGGCCGCAATGTGTACATGTGAAACCGGGATGTCGCCGTCGGTACATTCACCCGTCATGCATAAACCCATATATCCATAATCGCCCGAGCACCTAATCCCCATGCCCTGTTTCGCCGGAGTCTGGGGTGTCCGACGAGCCGTTGCAGCCGCCAGCAGCACCAGTGCATGACTCCGTACCACCCACAGGGCCGAGTATGACCCAGGACGCATCGGAGGGGGACCCTGCAGTGGATGCCGGGCCGGCAAAAAGAAGCCGTGCAAAATGCACAAGACGGCGCTGACGATAGACTGGTCGGCGCGGCAGACTATTACAACCCTTGTTCCCACAATCCTATTTTGGTTATTGTTCCTAATTGTGGGAGGTGAAATGTCTGTGATGATAGACAAAAAACGTAATTAGACTTGTTTATTGCCACACTGTCAACAAATGCTGTGTATAAATACCACCGCGTTCTGTGTTAAAATCCCCATGGGCTCTTCATGCTCTGTAGGTCGGTAATTCCTCCCCAAAAGTTAGCCAGGACGGCTTGGTTTTTTTAAGTTTCAAGTTTTCAAGTTTCATTTATTGGGTATAGCCCTGTGAGCCATGCGGCTCTTAAGTCGGGTGCAACCGCAACAAACAAAATATGAATACAGAACATCCTAAAGCGACGACGCACAACAGAAACATCCTGGAATTCAACCAGCAAATATTACACGTAAAAAAACGTATTAAAACGCTGTGTGCAAAAATCACAATGAGTGGGGGATGGGGGTGATGTTATGACCGAAAAATGACCCCAAGCCATATGCAGCCTAACGGCTATTGAAAAATAAACAAAGATCTCCGAATGGAAGAAAGAGGCCTCCATGGTGATTGGTCGGGAGGCAGACTTTTAAAGGGATTGGGGAATAAGGGTTGAACGGGAAAACAGAAAGGATCCGTTAAAGGAAATGGACAGGGATTGGCTCAAGGTAACAACAAGGACAAGAAGGTTCGAGAAAGGGGGCTGAGGGATATATAAGTGGAGAGTACGAGGAGTGGGGACACTCGGAGGAAGATACAAACAGGAAGACAAGAACGAAGCCTAGGGTCCCTCATTGTGAAAGTCGTTAGTAAGGTTCCTTATTGTGTAAACTCTAAATAAAATTGGCTCTTCTCATTACTTTGTCGACAGAGTCGTTACACAGGCATCACGAGAGGGCATTATCAACAATAACGACCACTGTTTGCCACTAAGTGGCAGTCACGTCACCACGGCACTGATGTCAGGTGAGGTGCACTCAGCTTGTGGTTGTGCGATCATACGGGCAATTTATCACAAACATTAGCACATCTGTTACATTTACATATTCGTTCAAATCGTCACCCAATATACGTTTGATATTTCTGTAATATATAGTAATTGTACGCTGCAGGGAATTTGTTAATTAACCTTTATTTGCGTTTGTACAATATTTTAGATTTTTCATGAAACGCAGTTGTTTTTGCTTCGATTTTTTATTTAAAATGTTTGCAGTATTTTATTTGTTTTGTCATGTTGATGACTCAGGTGACTCTTGCAAATGAGACTCTGTGGAGCTATAAGCCACAGGGCGAAGCCCTTTCCTGACCTGGAGCCTTTGTTTGGACCCCCTGAAGCAGCTCGGTTTATCTTACCCAGTGTTCTTCCCAGGAGATGCCGGCGCATATGGGGCAGGAAAGCCGGCGCTTTAGCCAGGCTGAGAAGACGGGCTAATCGCCACCTACTTCCCAGTATCTTGCTAGCCAATGTTCAGTCCCTTGAGAATAAGCTGAATGAGCTTAGATCGAGAATCTCCTACGAACGAGATGTGAAAGACTTAAATGTCCTTTGTTTGACTGAAACATGGCTCTCCCTACTGGTGCTGGGCCTAGCGATTCAGCCTGCTGTATTTTCCATTGAACGGGGGAAATGGACAAAGGCGTTGGGGAAAAGCAAAGGAGGAGGGGTATGCTTCATGATTAACAACTCTTGCTGTGACCACAGTAATGTGGAGTACCTGACAATAAAATGCCGACCCCACTATCTCCCGAGGGAAGTTTATTCTGTTATCCTCACGGCTGTATACATTCCCCCATTGGCCGACACCACTCAAGCTCTCAAGGATTTAAACTGGATTTTCTTAACAAACTGGAAGCCGCACACCCAGAAGCCGCATTCATTGTGGCTGGGGATTTTAACATAACGAAAATTTCACCAGCACATCAAATGCAATACGTGCTTAGACCAGATTTTGGACCACTGATATTCTTCCTTCTGGGATGGATACAAAGCCCTCCCCCGCCCACCGATCGGCAAATCAGATCCCGCCTCCATCCTGCTCCTACCCATGACCAAATGAATATTGCCCTGTCGCACTCACTGCAGTCATCGTGAAGTGCTTGGGGAGGCTAGTCAAGGACCATATTAGCTCCACCTTACCCGACACTCTAGACACACTACAATTTGCATGTCGCCCCAACAGATCCACGGAATCGCCACTGCACTATACACCGCTCTATCCCACCTGGACAAGAGGAATACTTACGTGAGAATGTGGTTCATCAACTACAGCTCAGCTTTCAACACCATAGTGCCCTCCAAGCTCGTCACTAAGCTCAGGGCGCTGGGTCTGAACTCCTCCCCGTGCAACTGGGTCCTGGACTTTTTGATGGGTCGACCGCAGGTGGTCAGGGTAGGCAACAACACCTCCACCACGCTGATCTTCGACACGGGGCCCCCCCAGGGGTGCGTGCTCAGACCCCTCTTGTACTCCTTGTTCAGTCACAACTTCGCGGTCATGCACTACTCCAACTCAATTATCAAGTTTGCTGACATGACAGTGGTAGGCCTGATCACCAACAACGATGAGACACAGGGAGGCGGTTGGAGCCCTGGTGGAGTAGTGCCAGGACAATAACCTCTCCCTCAATGTCAACAAAACCAAAGAGCTGATCATAGACTACAGGAGACAGAAGGGAGAGCACGCCCCCATCTACATCGACTGAGCCCCAGGGGGGAGGGTCAAAAGCTTCAAATTCCTGGGCGTGCATATCACTGAGGACCTGACATGGTCCCATCACATCAACACTGTGGTGAAGAAGGCGCAACAGCGCCTCTTCAACCTGAAGCGACTGAAGAAATTCGGCATGGATACTAACACCCTCATGAACTTCTACAGATACATCATTGGGAGCATTCTGTCTGGTTGCATCACCACCTGGTATGGCAACTCCACCGCCCTCGATCGCAAGGCTCTACAGAGGGTGGTGCAATCAGCCCAACGTACCATTGGGGGCACGCTGCCTGCCCTTCAGCACATTTATGCCACTCGGTGTCGTAGGAAGGCCAGGAAGATAATTAAGGACCTCAGCCACACAAACCACGACGGCGAGCGTCGTGCTGACTCATCCAGCCAGCGGTGGACAGAAACTGGCAGCCGTTCGTATGCCCTCCCCCCACACTCTCCCCCCCTCCTCACTCCCCCACCGCTACACAACGAACAAACATTTTTTTTGACAAGGAAATCAACCTAGGCGTTTGTTCAACGCAAGAAATCAACAACGCTCCCATTAAACATACAAGACTCATGATAACTGCGTCAACTATTAGCTGATAACGAAAAACATCGCCACCCATTGAGTTACGTTGATGAGGCAAACAGAAGTATTTCAGTCGAACGCTTTAATTGCATAATCGTTGATGAATCAATGAACGAACATCGCCGTGGTACTGTGCCGACGATTTCAAGCATAATAATTTCGCATATCAGAATGTGTTAAGGATTGGATACGAATCAAAGACCAAGTGCCGTGTTGTGTAATAATTCAAGTATACGAATTTGAATATAATAGAGTTAAGGTTTGATAGAATAGTTATGCATGTTTAATCTCTCTCTCAACAACCGATCGATTGCGTTACGCGTCGGGAATTAACCACAGGTGCCGCTATCGAGGTGAAACAACGCAATCGTGATGGTATCATGTTAACGCTGTGTTGAAATTCCAAAATCCCGAGATTTGAGTTTTCATATTATCCAAAAATTAAAGTTTAGCTAGAAAATAAAATTGATTAAAGCAGAATGTTTGCGTGATTCTTCCTGAAATTCTGCATAATATTGTTCTGCGTATGAGATCTGAATCCTGGGGACCTATCATAAGCACCTATCACGACAAATAATCCATAACACACATAATTCATAACGTTCAATCGAGAGTAATCGTATCCTTATCGATAATACGGAATTAAAGAGCAGAGTCGAATCGACTCTCTCATTTATGCTCACAACACCTGCACAACTACATACGATCAATTGCGTTATTCCAATTCATAACACAATCCTCGTCACCGAGGCTCTACCTGATAATCCATAACGACCTGCATTATCATAACCACGCCCACTCGCATAAATTAATACGATTATCTCTCGAATCAGCATAATTTATGCGCATAATTACACTAATTCACATAATTTCGGATACATTGTTCAAATTTCCAATTTCAGTTAATTTTCATTATTTTCATCAATTTTCATAACACCTATATATACAACACTCCACCTGCCGAGCAAGGGCGGTGGGATGGACGTCGGGCCCCACAATCCTCTATGTAGCCTGAACAGACTGTTGGGCCAAGTGCTGTCAGCAGACACCTTTGATGGCCGGTACGACACACGAGGGATGGGTGGCCAGCACCAAGCCAGGTCGCCTCTATCTCACAAGTGGTGATGTTTACACACTGCACCGGGTACTCATGTGAGTCTGAGTCGTCCTAGCTGTTCCACAAATAGCTACGATTGTTCAAGCGAGACTGGCACTGGTCGCCGAAACCACGTCCAGAGTTGGCTCGTGTTGCGTGAGCTAACACTACCGAAAATGTACACTACCAGGGAAGGACGTGTAGCTGATGGGATGTGTCAAAATACGTAATTCATGTGGAGGGACAGCTGTGTAAAGGAGTACAGTTATCTGCTTGTTTAATTGATATGAGTTGACACGTTTCATTAATTGAGCAAAGGTTATTCTGAGAACTGGGGAGAAGAGACGATTGGTGGGAGGAGGGAATTCCACAGCTTGGCCCGTGTGCGGGGAGAAGCGAGCAAGAAAAGTGAGGTGTCCTGCAGTGTGGTGAGTGGGTAGGCGAGTGAGTGCGTTGTTAGAGTATGGTAGTTGAACACAGTGCGAATGAGAGGTGAGCAGGAGGAGGAGCGGCACGAGGAGTAGCAGGTGTAGGGCAAGAGGGAGGGGGGCCGAGGGACAGGAGGCGGAGTGCGAATGGGAGGAGGGACGAGTGGTTGAGGTTACGAGGAAGCACAGGCAGTCACCGCGTCTCCCTCCTCGGGGCTGAATGATGAAGATGGACTCGAAGAGTCTTCCTCCATCTCGGATCTTCAGGTCGTGGCTTCTCATCTCGCTCCTCGTCCTCAGCGCCCTCGTCTTCTTCGTGATGAACGTGAGAACTCCACCTCCTACTCCTCTTCATCCACCTCACCTTTCTGCACCCTAGTCCTGTGTGGTTCACGATTTATTGCGATTACCGATTCTTATCTCACTTTATGATTCCGCTCGTTTACCCAGGACAGTCTCCCTGAGTCTCAAAGCTCTCTTTTTAAGACGGTCCTGCCAAGATTTCTCAGTACGGGGCAATGTAAAACTATAAACTATTTTTTTTATTTTACCAGGTAAGGGCCACTGAGCTATGTAAATATTTTTCAGAAGCGACTTGTCCACAAATGATTGCCCAACGAAGTGGCTCATCACGTGGGAATTTATAGCAGCCAAAGACTCTAAACGCGTGACGTTGATTCTTAATATGGAAGGAAAAACCGGAGGACCCGGAGAAAAATCCACGCGACCACGGGAAGAGTGAACACCAAATATACAGCGGGTGTCAGGGTTGGGATCGAACCCACGACCTCCTGCAAACCAGGCGAGAGAGTTAACATCTCATAGCCACCGTGGCGCCACTCTGCCCGTGTGTAATCCCAGTTTAGTAATTTACAGGTGATACTTCAGTATACGTTTTGTTTTAAGTTATGGGAGGAAACCAGAGAACCCGGAGGAAACCCATGCAGACCAGGGGGAGAACTTACAAACCCCACACGGCGCCCGAGTCGCGAGTCGAACCCAGGTGCATCTCGCTGTGAAGCTGCGCGAGTGATCACCACTGTGGTACCACCCTGCCGCGATGCATCGCCATGGCGTGATGGTGATGGTGGTGATGGGGACCAGCTTGCCTGGTTGTGCCAGTTCTGGCCACCTCCATAATACAGGGAGGAACTTCATCCAGCAGTGGATTGATACTGCACAGAAACAGTGTGTTTAGACATGAAGTCATAGATCTCTGCGAATCCATGTGTTCCTTAGCGAGTCTTTGGGTTAGTCTGTGGGTCTCTATATAAGTTAATGCATCTGTGTGGGTTTAGGAGTCCCTCGCTACGAGGCCCCGTGATTCTAAAGGTCTGTGTGCGTCTACGTGTCGTTGTGTGAGTCAACGTGTCCCTGTGCGAGTCTATGTGTCCCTGTGCGAGTCTACGTGTCCTGTGTAAGTCTACGTGTCCTGTGTGAGTCTACGTGTCCTGTGCGAGTCTACGTGTCCTGTGCGAGTCTACGTGTCCATGTGTGAGTCTACGTGTCCATGTGCGAGTCTACGTGTCCTGTGTGAGTCTATGTGTCCTGTGTGAGTCTACGTGTCCTGTGTGAGTCTACGTGTCCTGTGCGAGTCTACGTGTCCTGTGTGAGTCAACGTGTCCCTGTGTGAATCTACGTGTCCTGTGTGAGTCTACGTGTCGTGTGAGTCTATATGTCCCTGTATGAGTCTACGTGTCGCTGTGCGAGTCAACGTGCCCCTGTGTGTGTCTACGTGTCTCTGTGTGAGTCTACGTGTCTCTGTGTGAGTCTACGTGTCCTGTGTGAGTCTACGTGTCCTGTGCTAGTCTACGTGTCCTGTGTGAGTCTACGTGTCCTGTGTGAGTCTACGTGTCCTGTGTGAGTCTATATGTCCCTGTATGAGTCTACGTGTCGCTGTGCGAGTCAACGTGCCCCTGTGTGTGTCTACGTGTCTCTGTGTGAGTCTACGTGTCTCTGTGTGAGTCTACGTGTCCTGTGTGAGTCTACATGTCGTTGTGTGAGTCTACGTGTCCTGTGCTAGTCTACGTGTCCTGTGTGAGTCTACGTGTCCTGTGTGAGTCTACGTGTCCTGTGTGAGTCTACATGTCCATGTGTGAGTCTAAGTGTCCCTGATTGAGTCTACGTGTCCTGTGTGAGTCAACGTGTTCCTGTGTGAGTCTACGTGTCCTGTATGATTCTATGTGTCCATGTGAGTCTACGTGTCCTGTGTGAGTCTACGTGTCCTGTGTGAGTCTATGTGTCCTGTGTGAGTCTACGTGTCCTGTGTGAGTCTACGTGTCTCTGTGTGAGTCTACGTGTCCATGTGTGAGTCTACATGTCCATGTGTGAGTCAACGTGTCCATGTGTGAGTCTACGTTTCCTGTGTGAGTCTACGTGTCCTGTGTGAGTCTACATGTCCATGTGTGAGTCTACGTGCCCCTGATTGAGTCTACGTGTCCTGTGTGAGTCAACGTGTTCCTGTGTGAGTCTACGTGTCCTGTATGAGTCTATGTGTCCATGTGAGTCTACGTGTCCTGTGTGAGTCTACGTGTCCTGTGTGAGTCTACGTGTCCTGTGTGAGTCAACGTGTTCCTGTATGAGTCTATGTGTCCATGTGAGTCTACGTGTCCTGTGTGAGTCTACGTGTCCTGTGTGAGTCTATGTGTGCTGTGTGAGTCTACGTGTCCTGTGTGAGTCTACGTGTCCTGTGTGAGTCTACGTGTCCTGTGTAAGTCTACGTGTCCTTGTGTGAGTCTACATGTCCCTGTGTGAGTCTACGTGTCCATGTGTGAGTCTATGTGTCCCTGTGTGAGTCTACGTGTCTCTGTGTGAGTCTACGTGTCCATGTGTAAGTCTACGTGTCCTGTCTGAGTCTACATGTCCCTGTCTGAGTCTACGTGTCCCTGTGTGAGTCAACGTGTCCATGTGTGAGTCTACGTGTCCTGTCTGAGTCTATGTGTCCTGTGTGAGTCTACGTGTCCTTGTGTGAGTCAACGTGTCCTGTGTGAGTCTACGTGTCCTTGTGTGAGTCAACGTGTCCTGTGTGAGTCTACGTGCCCCTGTGAGTCTAAATGTCCCTGTGTGAGTCTACATGTCCTGTCTGAGTCTACGTGTCCTGTGTGAGTCTACGTGGCCTGTGTGAGTCTACGTGTCCTGTGTGAGTCTACGTGTCCTGTGTGAGTCAACGTGTCCCTGTGTGAATCTACGTGTCCTGTGTGAGTCTACGTAACCTGTGTGAGTCTACGTGTCCTGTGTGAGTCTAGGTGTCCTGTGTGAGTCTAAGTGTCCCTGTGTGAGTCTACGTGTCCTGTGTGAGTCTACGTGTCCTGTGTGAGTCAACGTGTCCCTGTGTGAATCTACGTGTCCTGTGTGAGTCTACGTGTCCTGTGTGAGTCTACGTGTCCTGTGTGAGTCTACGTGTCCTGTGTGAGTCTACGTGTCCTGTGTGAGTCTACGTGTCCTGTGTGAGTCTACGTGTCCTGTGTGAGTCTACATGTCCATGTGTGTGTCTACGTGTCCTGTGTGAGTCTACGTGTCCTGTGTGAGTCTACGTGTCCATGTGTGTGGCTACGTGTCCTGTGTGAGTCTACGTGTCCTGTGTGAGTCTACATGTCCCTGTGTGAGTCTACGTGTCCTGTATGAGTCTACGTGTCCTGTGTGAGTCTACGTGTCCTGTGTGAGTCTACGTGTCCTGTGTGAGTCTACTGTCCTGTGCTAGTCTACGTGTCCCTGTGTGAGTCTACGTGTCCTGTGTGGGTCTACGTGTCCTGTGTGAGTCTACGTGTCCTGTGTGAGTCTATGTGTCCTCTGTGAGTCTACGTGTCCTGTGTGAGTCTACGTGTCCTGTGTGTGTCTACGTGTCCTGTGTGAGTCTATGTGTCCTGTGCTAGTCTACGTGCCCTGTGTGAGTCTACGTGTCCTGTGTGAGTCTACGTGTCCTGTGTGTGTCTACGTGTCCTGTGTGAGTCTGTGTCCTGTGCTAGTCTACGTGTCCTGTGTGAGTCTACGTGTCCTGTCTGAGTCTATGTGTCCTGTGCTAGTCTACGTGTCCTGTGCGAGTCTACGTGTCCCTGTGTGAGTCTACGTGTCCTGTGTGAGTCTATGTGTCCTGTGCTAGTCTACGTGTCCTGTGTGAGTCTACGTGCCTGTCTGATTCTACGTGTCCTGTGTGAGTCTACGTGTCCTGTGTGAGTCTACGTGTCCTGTGTGAGTCAATGTGTCCTGTGTGAGTCTACGTGTCAGTATGAGTCTACGTGTCCTGTGTGAGTCTACGTGTCCTGTGCTAGTCTACGTGTCCCTGTGTGAGTCTACGTGTCCTGTGTGGGTCTACGTGTCCTGTGTGAGTCTACGTGTCCTGTGTGAGTCTATGTGTCCTCTGTGAGTCTACGTGTCCTGTGTGAGTCTACGTGTCCTGTGTGTGTCTACGTGTCCTGTGTGAGTCTATGTGTCCTGTGCTAGTCTACGTGCCCTGTGTGAGTCTACGTGTCCTGTGTGAGTCTACGTGTCCTGTGGGTGTCTACGTGTCCTGTGTGAGTCTATGTGTCCTGTGCTAGTCTACGTGTCCTGTGTGAGTCTACGTGTCCTGTCTGAGTCTACGTGTCCTGTGCGAGTCTACGTGTCCCTGTGTGAGTCTACGTGTCCTGTGTGAGTCTATGTGTCCTGTGCTAGTCTACGTGTCCTGTGTGAGTCTACGTGTCCTGTCTGAGTCTACGTGTCCTGTGTGAGTCTACGTGTCCTGTGTGAGTCTACGTGTCCTGTGTGAGTCTATGTGTCCTGTGTGAGTCTACGTGTCCTGTGTGAGTTTACGTGTCCTGTGTGTGTCTACGTGTCCTGTGTGAGTCTACGTGTCCTGTGTGAGTCTATGTGTCCTGTGCTAGTCTACGTGTCCTGTGTGAGTCTACGTGTCCTGTCTGAGTCTACGTGTCCTGTGTGAGTCTACGTGTCCTGTGTGAGTCTATGTGTCCTGTGTGAGTCTACGTGTCCTGTGTGAGTTTACGTGTCCTGTGTGTGTCTACGTGTCCTGTGTGAGTCTACGTGTCCTGTGTGAGTCAACGTGTTCCTGTGTGAGTCTACGTGTCCTGTATGAGTCTATGTGTCCATGTGAGTCGACGTGTCCTGTGTGAGTCTACGTGTCCTGTGTGAGTCTATGTGTCCTGTGTGAGTCTACGTGTCCTGTGTGAGTCTACGTGTCTCTGTGTGAGTCTACGTGTCCATGTGTGAGTCTACATGTCCATGTGTGAGTCTACGTGTCCATGTGTGAGTCTACGTTTCCTGTGTGAGTCTACGTGTCCTGTGTGAGTCTACGTGTCCATGTGTGAATCTACGTGTCCATGTGTAAGTCTA